AAAGTGAGGGGAAATGGCAGCATGCACCAGCATCACACTGGCATGCTGATGTCACTTCCAGCGAAAACCAGAAGTTATGTCATGAAGTTGGGAGGGGCCTCTAGGATTTACCCATAGAGTTCTTGCGAATCCTAGATTGTCCCCTTCATGATCTGGTCTTCACTAGAAATTGTATCAGTGCGCCGGTGTCATGCTGGCACTCCTGCCCCGCCAAATGCTCCTGGGACTTTCAGGCTTCGGTCTGACAACCCCAGGTCTGAGCCACATGGCCCCTGAGGTGCTGACAGTTGCTAGAGCTTGGTTATGCTTTCTCCTGGCCACCAGAGGGCCTCTAAAGCAGTGGCCCACCAGGGAGTTTCCCTGTAAGCCAGTACACTCCTGGAGGTGAAAAGACCACTGCCACAGGCCCTAGAGAACTGTTGTCAGTGAGAGTAGACAATACTGACCTTGATGGACCAATGTTCTGACTCAGTATGTTCAGCCACGAAGGAGCGGGAGAAAGGAGAAGGCTGAAGAGGAGAAGCTGATGAGGCGGCAGCAGAAACAGGATTGTCTTCTCCCTACAAAATGGGTTTTCTGGGGGAGGAGCAGAGATCATTTCGGGGGGGATCGCGGGGGATCGCAGTTCCCCCAGGTGAGGTACGGGGGACGGGGCACATGACGAAGCCCCGCCCCCTGCTTCCGGCCCGCCCCGCTTCCGGCCCTCATTCAGCCAGGAGGAGGCAGGAGAAGAGGGAGGGTAAGTTGATTCCTCCCTGCCTCTCCCCACCCCTGCCTGCCTGGGGCCAGGGAGGGCCTTCACAGGGCTTCCTTGCACTCCCGCCGGCCTTGCACGTCCACCGCCGGGCCCCTCATGGGGCTCGGCAGTGGAGCTGCAAGGCTGGCGGCGGCGGCCGGGACCGTTGGGTGTGGGTGGCCTTATGACACACTTCCGGTGATGTCAGGGGGTGTGGCATATACAAATGAGTTATGCTAATGAGTTCCCCTAGCTCTTTTTCTATGAAACGACCCCTGGGGAGGAGAGGAATCAGTGCTACAGTCTGGGACTGTGTAGTGACTCCATATGATGCAGCCTCTTGTAAATGGCATATTCTATAGATGACCTGGAACAAAGTCTCCGTGGACTAGAGAATGAGTAACAGAAGAAACTCCCCATATGCCAAGGTGCCTTCTAGACTAGAGTGGGGCGTTAGCTCCTAGCTCCTTAAGAGGTGTTTTGCTTCATGCATTGCAATGTGTTCACACAGGGATCAGCAACTCATGCTGCAGAAACAGAGAAGCAGTGCAGAGCAGAGCAGAACAGGGACAGAATGTGCTACTTGGGTGTAGAGCTGAGCATCCTGAGGTTGTCAGATTTTATTTTTAAGAGAGCAAACTGTGGTTGCAAAGAGATGCTTGAAAGTGTGTGAGGTAACCAAAATATCAGAAGCCAAAGGTCTGGTGGAAGATTTCTATGGGCTGATTGTGTGCATATGTGTGTGGGGGGTGGAGTTTCAGCTCCTTAAAAAGACACTGCCCCCCCATGACCAATAAAGCCAGAATACATTACGCAATACTGTAAAACATGCAGAATTAATGTTGTAAATGGGGGGAAAAATTAGGAACGTTGGTGAAATTGGCATTGCTCGGATGGGCTGCAGAATCCATCATTTGTTGACATGGAGCTTTCAGGGTATTATTTTGGAACTGAGCTGAGCCAGCCTTGATCATACTTCTTTTGGTGCTAGCTTTAGGATGTACAGCTCGCAGCCAAACAAATGTTAGACAACCAAAGCAAGAAAGAAAGGTCAGTAGTTCAGCAGTTCGAGACCCGAGTGTGCCGCATGACGGAGTGAGCTCCCGTCTCTAGTTCCAGCTCCTGCCAACCTAGCAGTTCGAAAGCAAGAAATGGCAAGTAGATAAATAGGGACCACTTCGGTGGGAAGGTAACAGCGTTCCGTGCACCTTGGTGTTTAGTCATGCCGGCCACATGACCACGGAAATGTCTTCCGACAGCGCTGGCTCTTCGGCTTTGAAACGGAGATGAGCACCGCAACCCTAGAGTCGGACTCGACTAGTTTTCGAGCAAGGTACCCTTCCCTTTACCTTTAGGATGTACAGCTCGCAGCCAAACAAATGTTAGACAACCAAAGCAAGAAAGAAAAGTGGATTTACTTTTTTTCTCTTCAAAGTGAACATTAAAGAGGAACTTATGACACTAAAAGAATGGTCATCTTGAATCAGAAGGTGAGAGGCGTGGTGGTACAGACAAACATTCTCTTTATTAAGCTACACATGAATTTTCCATTAGTCAGAGAAAGAAATTGGCAGTGTCTAATAGATCACAGAAGTCTCACTGATTGGTAATAGAAAGGCTTAGAAAGACCTGGCGCTTTTTAGATATATATATATATATATTATATATATTCTTTAGTTTTTTCCCCCTCTTTAATCTGTTTTTTTTCTCCTTTAAATTTGAAACAGGTGTAACTGGCTTTCTCCAGCAGAGGTACCCCTTAAAATTGAAACTGTGAAGACATCTGATTACTAATCCCAGTAGAAATGACAAAGGGTTGGGTTGGTCATGAAAACTGTGGCTTTTTAAATAAATGTAAACACTACATTTGATTTTTGTTTTTTAATTTTTTTGGGCTTTTTGTGTGTTTTAAAGTTTTTTTAAGATGCTTTTCTTTTTTTTCTTGTTTTTTGTTAATTTTTTTTGTTTTCGCAGCACAAACATCCCCACAAGAGAGAGAGAAAGAGAGAGCACACCATTCACTAAAAGGAAGGATAAGAGGAAGGGGGAAAGAAGCCACACAAAGAAAAGCATTCACTGGGAAGTGTGGAAAATAAATTTTTTAAAAAATTCAGAACAGAACAAAAAAAACCCTGCCCTCCCAACCCAAACTAACCCATTTTCCTTTAAAAAAATGAGACAGAGAAAAAAAGAAAGCAAGAGAAAAAGAACAGAAACGGGTATGTGATACACAGTGTCTTTCAGAGCAAAAAAACCCAAATGAGGGAATTTGGGAAATTTTGGCCACTTGGGACCAGTGACATCTGTGCTTATTTTTTTTTTAAAATACAAATCCAGAGAGTGAATGAGACTATTCAGAACAATGAATCATTATTAAATTGGGGGGGGGGGAGAGATGCATCCCTTTCTGGTCACCTGGCCCAATCTGAAGGCAGGTTTGCTTGATTATCATTTCCACAATGAGGCTTATGGATGAAAAATGTCCCTGGACATTTTTGGATGCTGATCTGCTAGTGGGCTATGACATATAGTAACATCTAAAATGTGTGTGTGGGGGGGGAATCCACTGACATTTCCCATTGAGATTCCAGAACTGACCGTGTTTTCCTGTCTAAACATCTGTCCCTTTTAGGTCATGGCTAAAGGTGGGGTGGGATGCAGGGACAACGGAAGAATTTCACCTCCCTTCTCCTACCCCCATGGACTAAAAACAGCACCTGTAAGAGGGAAGGGGAAAACAGGGAGGCAGGACAGAGAGCCCCACAAATTCCCATGTTCTGTATTCCCCACGGATGAAGGTTGTTCTGGATATTCGGCAAAGGCAAACAATCTCTCAAATGTCTAAGCTGATTCTGGATATCTGGAAACCCTACAGGACAGCTCTTCAGGGCCCCTCATTGTAATGGCCATTGGGTATTAAAGACCAAAGGCGGCCATTTTGTTTGCACTGAGGCCAGTTTCCCCTGTTAAGACCAAGGCGTTACCTACACCTTTGACAACTTGCAATCACAGCCAGCTCAGATGGAGAAAGCCTCAGAGGCGTGGGTTGCAAGCTGTTATTTTGAGTGTGTGTGTGTGTGTGTGTGTGTTTTGAACAAAGCAGAAAGCAAATGTGAGAGATTTTTTTTATTTGTAAGCATGAAGTATGTGTGTGGGGAAAATCTTTCAATTCCCCCACTTTTCTTAACCTCCTTTTCTGTTTGTTTAGAGTCTAAACTTGGCTAAAACCAGGTTTTTACAGCATCCTACAGAAATTCACAGCCCCCATTCCAATGATTCAGGACATCATACACTGAGGCAGTAAGGAAGGCCATGTCTTTATACAAAGGCCCAAAGGGCATGCTATATAACAAAGAGAAGGCTACCAGAAAGGTTGATGTAAAGTTGGCTAGACAGACAGACAAACAGACAGAGGAGGAAGTCTGGGCACACATTAGGAAGAGAAAGAAAACTCCCAAATCAAGCACATTCAAAAGAAGGAAATCCCCAGACGAGAGCCAAATATATGATCTGAGTTGTAGTTTTGTGGTGAGAGGGGAAACATTCTCCCCAACATCTCTTCTAGGAAAGAGCTTGGCACTGACAATTTTTACGGGCAAATGCCACCTCCTGGCCTCCAGGGGCACTATTGCAACTTTCAAGCCTTCTCTTTCGTGCAGTCTCCTGGGCTGGTTTAAAGACAGAACAGACAGACGCATCCTCATTCTTGTCCTTTAACTTGGGATGCAAAACAGCTTTATTTTACCTATTCAGGACAGATACCACCCCATAATCTCTTTATGGGGGGAGGGAGGGGAAAGCCCGAACCCTTTTTCTGAATTTTCATTTTCCCACAACATTTTGTTTGAATGGGTTTCAAGCACGCAAGAGCTGAACGGAACTGAGAGGTCCTGAAAGCCCAGCCGGCATGGCAAAAGATGTAGCCTAGCTACAACTTGGATGGGAAGTTTTCACAAATGGTGGTACCTTTAAAAAAAAAAAAATCCACAGGAATCAGGAAAAAAAAAGATAAGATTTCCCCCCCTACCCTATCCCCAAAAGCACCCTATACACAAAGGATTCTTAAAAAAATAACAATACCACTTTTTTTTAAGAAAGTTGCTTCTTTTTTTAAAATTCACAGGCTATCTTATGTTTCGCATATGTTGGTGGAGAGTTTAAAAAATTCAGTGGTTGATTGTTCTTTTTTTTTGGCATGTTCTTAAAGCCAAACATTTAAATTTAATTGTTTGTCATTGACTTTCGAAAGCAGGAAGGGCTGAAAACTTTTCGGGGGGGGGGGCATCAGTTCTTTCCATAGCTCTTTTGAGGCAAACTTAAAAAAAAGGAAGTGTTTTCAAATATATATATAATTTTTCATTATGCCTTTTTATTTACCAGCTTGCATCATTCATTAATATTGTGTGTGTGTGTGTGTGCGTGTGTGTGAGAGACTCATATTTTGTTTTTGCCTTTTTTTTCAAATATTTTATTTTCCTCTCGGTGTGATTGTTTCCAAATAAGTTGCTTGCTATACAGAATGGGAGGGGGGAGGGGAGGTCAGTATAAGCCGCAGCCTCGAAGGTTGTTGGCAATGATGATGTCGGTGACGGCGTCGAATACCACCTGGATGTTGTTCGTGTCCGTCGCACAAGTCATGTGACAGTAAATCTCCTTGTTTGGCGAACGGTTTTTACTCTCAAATTGTGCTTGGATGTAGGCTGCAGCATCATCGTACGTGTTGGGACCTGTGAGCAGACAGCGAAGGGGGATGAGAAGGGCTCCTTTCAATGGCCGCGAATGACCGTTCTTTCAACAATGACAAAAAAGGAGACGTAGAGGAAATTCTGGCCCAGTTCTGCGCATGTATTGCAAATGAAATACAAAATCTGTTGGATAAATACCTCTTGCAGAAAGACATTCACCTTCCAGTGTGAGAGCCACTTACGCTGGAGGAAGCATCCTTAGATTGGGGAAAGGAGCCCCCCTTCAAACATAAGCCAAATGTAAAGGTAGAGTATAAATATTTTAATAAATTAATAAACCTTGCTCAGTGGAGTGGTAGGATATGGGTAGGATCTGCCCCACTGAAACAGGTACAAAATCTTATAAACAAGTACTATGTACATTAAAAAATGACCTGACATGAGTTTGGGACTACATACTGGTTTTGAATTTTCTTCAGATTAGTCCAAAATCCATTTTTAGTTCAAAACCCATTTTTGCGGGAAATGAAAAGCTACATGGGTAACTGGATCTTAGTTTAGGTCCAAAATCTGCACAAATTGTATAACAGGGAAAAAATGTCCCAGTAATCAGGGCACCGAGGCTGGACTGGATCTTCAGAATAGTAAATCTAACACCTCTATCTCAAACTAACTAACCTTGGTCAGAACAGGAAGTAAACAACTCATGTCCGGAAAAACAGAATTTTGTACTAATCTGAGGGAGATCTGAAATGAGTATACATTCCAAACTTTCACTGTGTTTTAATGTAGGCGTTCCCAATCTTTTAGAACCGGGGGGCTCTTCCGGAATTTTTAGAGTCAGTGGTGAGTGCCACCCCAAAATGGCTGGGGCAGGAGGTGGAGCCAAACCCCAAATGGCTGTCACAGGAGGCAGACCAAAATACAACAGCTCCCTCCCTCACTCTGCAAAAGAACCACAGAAGGGGAATAAAAAGAAATGAGGGAGAGCCTGAGGGCCAAGGGGGGGAAATAAAAAGAAACAAAGGAAAGTCCGGGTGGGGGGCAGAAGCAAGAGAAGGTAGGATAAAAAGAACGAAAGCCTGTAAGGGGAATAGAACCACACACTGACTCAGGAAAACCCGGGTGCTTACTCGTCCTGCTGGCCTCCCAGTGGCTGCGGCTGCTATTGCAGCTGTGGAAAACTTGTTCTTTGAATTAGGGCAGCCAATAACAAGTCCTGCCTTACTATGGCCCCACCCATTTTCTGAAAAATTCAGTGGGCACTAGGGTAGGTGCCATAGCACCCGCAGTGGCCACCATGTTGGTCAATCTTGTTTTAACGTGTTATTTGTTTCAAACATTTATATGCCACCTTTTCTGAGATCTGCTCAATGACACCCACAAAATAAAGCAAGATAAAACAATAAAACCGAACCATTCCAACCTTAGGAAATAAAAGCAACTTGACCCCTCCCCCAGAGTGTCGTGCCTGTCCCCGACCTGGCACCTGGGAGCCTTGAAAATGAGGACTCTGCACCTCTAACAACCTCTGAAGCACAAGAGTCCTCATCAAACCTAAGTGCCGGGGAGGATGAACACCAAACCACAGGACAGCTGGCACCTGAAGCTGATCAGGCAATACCTGGCCCTAGCAGCTCGCCACCTGATTCTCCGCCACCTGTTGACTGGCTGAGAAATTAGAGACTCCGGGATCTGGCAACCAGGTGCAAGGAGGCACGCTTGCTTGCAGATGGCGATCATTAAGTCCAGATTACTGACAGAAGCAAGGACTTTGCAAAGGAGTGCAAACGAGATAACAACCTAGCACACTCTTTGAAGAGACCGCTGGCTGCTAGCAAACTGTGCTGGCAAACTAGTCTGTGGACCAGAAGCTCTGCACCTCTGACTCTGTTTTGGCTCTTGACTGATCTCCCGGTTCCTGAATCCGGTCCATGTTTTGGCGACCCCTCTGGCTCTTGATCCCCGGCTACGCTTCCTGACTACGATACTGGGTTGGACTCTGACTATCGGTAACGTTGACTACGGCTTGGCTTTGTGTATTTGGAACTGTTTGCTTGGACTCCTGTTGATCTCTCTGGCTGACTCTTGGACTTGCCTATTGATTCTCCCTCTCTGCCCGGCCCCCTGGCTCTGTTGTGACACAGTGCATATGGTATTCCCTTAAATCAGATTTTTATATGTTTTTGTATCTTTCTGTATGAGGTATTTATCCAGCTAAAAATGAAGAAAGGGAAAATAAACTGAACCCAAAACAAACTGAATTAAGTAGCAAAAGATTAAGAAGACAAAAATGTACAGGCCAAATAATGCTGTTAGTCAATTTAAAAATTAGCAAATAACAGATATGGGCCATTACAACAGTCTCAATTATCACTGATGATCTCCATTTTATAGTTGTTACTGTTTTTACCATGTTGTATGCTGCCCAGAGCCCTACAATAGTGGGGATTGGGCGATTCATAAATGTAAAAAACCAATCAATCAATAATAAATACAAAGACATCCAAAAGTGACAAATATTGACCAGACGTGTTTTGGCCCAACTGGCCTTCCTCAGTGGTCAAACTAATAACATGGCAGCACGGCTCCTGACATACTACTATAACATTCATTTATCACAAACTGACCGAGATGAACTTGGTCTGAGAATTATTGTCTGTGAGCAAGGGAAAGAATACTGATCAAAAATCTCATTCCTAAGAGTTCACAGCCCCTCAGCCTCCCGTGGGTGCCGAAGCTGGCCTGGCAGCCCTGTGTGTGAGGCTCTTGTGCAATGGAAGGGGTCTTTCTTGGCAGCAGCAGCACGACGGCTGTTGCGGGTGCAGAATGAGGATAAGGTGGGCAGCTCTGGCTTGGGAAATTTCGGGGGTGGGGGTGGGGGGGCAGTGCATGGGGAGAGCAGAGTTTGTGGGGGGCCAGGAGCTCAGCGGGAATGGATGCCATGCAGTCTGCCCTCTGGAGCTGCCGTTTCCTCCAGGAGAACTCCCAGTCCCACGCTGAGTGTGGCAAGCCTTGATCAGGACCAAGTCCTCAGAAACTAGCGCATCTCCTTCCTGGGAGCCGAATGCAGAATCCTCCCCCCTTTAGACTGGGCTCTAAAGTTTCATTCAAACTGACCCGCTCATTGCCGGGAGGCTCCGACGTCAAGGGATGACTGCAGACATGGCTCAGTCGTTACAAAACAAGCACCAGACTGGGGAGATCTGCATTCAGTTCCGCATTTCATCATGAAGCATTCTGGTGGCCCTGAGGCAGTATCTTGACCTGCCCTAAGTCATAAGGCTGCAGTGAGGGTATCTGGATAAGAAACCATTCCCACAACTCTCGGTGTCTTGGGAAAGGGTGGAATAAAAATAAAGTAGGCATATGCTGTCAGCTTGGCGCGGTAGGGTGGCGCATCAGATTGTGCCAGTTTAAAGTGTGGCAGAGTATTTCATCCAGACTGCGCACTCTGTAGGGGAGCCATCCACATTAGTATTGCGCTTTAGTCACAGGATGAGCTGGAAGGTTGGGTTTTATTTAAATGCAGGTGGATGGATGAAGAAGAAGAAGAGATTGGATTTATACCCTGCCCTTCACTACCCAAAGGTATCTCAGAGTGGCTTACAAACTCCTTCCCCTTCCCCTCCCCACAACAGACACCCTGTGAGGTAGGTGGGGCTGAGAGAGCTCTTGACAGAAACTGCTCTTTTTCAAGAACAGCTCTTATCAGAACTATGGCTTGTCCAAGGTCATCCAGCCAGGTGCAAGTGGAGGAGTGGGGAATCAAACCCGGTTCTCTCAGGTTAGTGTCCGCGCACTTAACCACTACGCCAAACTGGCATATGCGTTCATATGCATATAGGCAGTAACAAAAAAAAACTGGAGTGGCAGAAATTGATTGGTGGTTCAGATGTCCCTTCTGGGTTTCTTTAGCTGCAGGAGAGTTCAGATGTCAGAAAACCCAGAGGAAGCCGTGACCAATCCAGTCACACCAGACTCCCCGGTATCTGTTTATTCCGCTTGCATTGTGGAACAGCATGGGCTGCCAACAACTGCGCCAAAGGAGGCAGATGTCTTTGTCTGGGGGGCCCATTTATTCTGCTCAGGTAACACCACTATATCGCCACAAACTGCATGTGTGACCATAGCCACTGACTATTATCTGTAACGTAACAGTATAAGATAGTCCCCAGTGTGAAAAGCTGTGAAGGTACCACCATGTGAGCAGCAGAACTGAAAAAAACTGTGAAATTAAAAATGTGGAAGCAAAATCACTGCATGTCAGGTTTTCAGGGTTGTGTGAACTCCTGTCACTTAATGTGTGTGCGCACCAAACTAAAGAAGAAGAAGTAGTTCAATGACAAAGCAGATGCTCTGAATGCTCTGAATGCAGATGGTTCCAGGTTTCATCTCCACTGCCTTTGGTTAAGAGAGGCAGAAGGGTCTTGGAAAGTCCTACCTCTGCCTGAAACATTGGAGAACTGCTTCCAGTCAGAATAGAGCTAGCTGGCCCAATGGTCTGACTTGGAATAAAAGAACTTCCTATGTTCCTATGGCACCTTAGCAATAACCATGTGCACTGGCCCTTCATTGTCTTTAAATGCTGCTACCCTCATTTAGAGAGAGGAAATTGACTTCTACACACTGATCTCATGAGGAAGAAAGCTGGACTAAAGCTCTTGCCCTTGACATAGTGGTTTTGTATGTCATGATTATTTTTCTTAATATGGTAGAAGCATTTCCTGCACCTGCCATCTGAAACGGAATAGCTCAGCAGAAACTGTACCAAGAGACTGATCTGATTTTTTTGTGTGTGCATGCTCCTCCCTCATCAACATTCCAAGACCCAATCTTACTTCTCTGTGGTTAGATCCCATGAACATTCTATGACATCACAGCTGCTTGGCCAATGGCTGCGGTCACACCAGAGGACAGGTAAGCAGTCAACCAGATTTTAATTTTCAAGGGAAGATACCTCCTGAGCAGTGCTGGATAAACCTTATGCTGAACCATATTCTGGTCCTCAACATACTCTGATCCATCTGCCACTCATCCTCTCGTCTTAGGTTGCTGTGCTTCTAGGTTCTTGTTCAATGAAGGCGAAGACATCACATACCTGTGTATTCAGGGAAGCAGATAGTCAGAGGTGATTTCTTGATCTTCTCACTGAACAGGTCTTTCTTGTTGAGGAAGAGAATGATGGAGGTATCGATGAAGAATTTGTTGTTACAGATGGAGTCGAAGAGCATTAGAGACTCATGCATGCGGTTCTATGGCAGAGCACATATCGGAAAAGAAAAAAAGACAGAGACAGACAAAAGAAAGAAGGTGGGAAAGAGAA